GTTTCCCATCAGTCCCCTGTCCTGGATTCAGCCCCATACACTACGTGCCACTCCCTCCCCTGGGGTCTCCCAAGCATCAAGAGCAGGCTTGGGGGGGGGGGCACGGGCCACAGCAAGAAGGAGAATCTGACCAGATCCTTTCCGTGCATGTGGCAGGGACCCCACCGCCTTTGGGATCTCAATTTTACCATTACCACTTTTATGCTATATAACTTCTCATTCTGAGCTTGGACATGAAGAATTAATACACATTCCTACAAACCTTTATAAAAACTGATAATGTGCCAAGCCAATAGTGAAAATAATTTCATACTGAGGTCTTGAAAATATGAAAAATAATTTCATACTGCGGTGAAATGTTCAGTTGAGCAGCAATGTGTTAAGGGTGCGGCTATAGTGTATGTCTCTTAGAACTGAGTTCTGCATTTGCCTAGACAAAGAGCATAGATAGCCATGTTGTTCCACAAACATGTAAACCTTTTTATTGGGTTTCTATTGATTCTTCATCTACTGTGTCATCTGCAAGTAATCTCCAGTTTCGTTAATATAAGGACTCCAGTGTGTAGGTAGACCCCCTTGGACTGGCAACCCTAACTGAGAAGCACACAATGCAGAATGTAATGGGGCTGAATATTATCTTTCTTGACTGGAGGGGGGGGCTTTATGCTGATGCCCTTGGGCAAAGGAGGAAGAAGAGAGGTTTTGCTCTGTGCCCAAGAGGGATAGGAAGGGGTCATATAACTTGCACCTCACCTTGCTAGTTTGAAGAGCATGTTTCTTTGGGGAGAGGAGGACATGTGTGTGTTTCTTGCATAGAATTATGGTGTAGTGGTTAGAACGTTGGACTAGGATTGGGGAGATCCAAGTTCGGATCCTTACTCTACCATGAGAGCTTGCCGTGTGACTTTGGGCTAGTCACACCCTCTCAGTCTGGCCTACTTCACAGGATTGTTGTGAGGACAGAATGGAAGAGAGGATAATGTTATGAGCTAGTTTGGATTCCCCTCTTGGGAGGAAGGTCCAGGTATAAATGAATAAATAAATATTTATATTCTGTGCCAACTGACCCTAATTCTTTCCCCAGAGTCTAAACATTCACATCACTGAAAAGCAAGCATATATTCTCAAACTGATTATTTTTCTGGATTTGGGATATTTTGGCAAGAACTACTTTATTGTTGGAAGGAAAGTGACCAGAAAGTGACAGAAGGTGCATGGAAAGGAGAATGTGACTGGGGCTGCTTCATATGCTTACCTGGGAATGTAGGTCATGGGTCACAGTGAGACAGCTGAAGAAATTATGTGGGACACAAACTCACCATCTGAACCTTGGAGCCAGCACACTGACTAGCAGATGCTCTTCATAATTGCCTAGATTTCCGTGATCTTTCCGAGTATGAACCAGCTGAGATCCTTTGACTGATTGTTTCAGGGATTCAGTCAAGGAGCTTCAGCATGCAAAGCAGGTGTTCTCCTGCTGCCCCCCCCCCCCACACTCTGTGGTCACGAAGGTGGATTTCGAGGAGCCATGCAAAATTCTGCACAGACGGATGGTGATGAATCGTGTGAGGATGGGGAGTGGAGTGGGGTGATTCTTCTAGGTGACGTGTGTGTGTTGGGGGGGGAAGGTGGATACCGGCAGTGCCGGCCTGAAATCCTGTTCCCGTACCATGCAGCACAGTTCTAAAGTAGAGTTGCATCTTTTTAAGGCCATTGATTTCTATTACCTGAGAAGGGGGTAGCCGTGCTGAGGATTGCACTGATAATCTATCAGTGCCATTTCAGAAATAGACGGTTTTATTTCATGATGGATGAGATCGGAAGCTGATGGCTCTGCACAGGCACAGGGACCCCACTGCCTTCTCGCACCCCACGCAGTAGCTGCCACTGGGCAGCGGGAGAGGGCAGCCCAGCCGGGCTTTTGCTGTGCCTGCGGGGAGCTGATGGCCCCCTGCAGATGCAACTCTGCGCTGCCTCCTTGTGCCATCTGGTTCAAAACAGGCAGCAGGAGAAGGGCAGGCCAGCCAGGAGTCATTTCTGTTTCTGTACAAGCGGCATGAGACTAGAGATGGTCTCATATCGTTAGACTCATGCTGCTTGTAAAAGAAATGTAAGGTGTGAATGGGGGAGTGGCCTATGAGACACAGGGACAGGGCGGCGGCAGGGGGGGGGAAGAGTCCAAGGGGATCTGTCTGCTGTTGACTTACCTTCAGCTTGGAAGCAAAGCAAGGGAACGGATGGCCCTCTCAGGAAACCAAGGGAAACAGCAGACAGAAAGCAAAGCAGAATGCTGAAGAAAGGGAAAACAATGCAGAACCAAAGAGAAAAGCTAACAGACATGCGTGGTGAGAGCGGGGCAAAAACACCCGTGCATAATGGACCCATGTCTGGAACGGGTTTATGCTTCTCCCCGCCCCCCTCCAGAAGCTGGGAACATCCAATGTAGTTTTCAGTGACCACATGGTTATCCAATCAGAAATTCAGATCTAGGGATTTCAGTTTGTTCTTCAGAAGTCATGATTTGCTTACTCATTTGGCAAAACAGACCTTTTACATACCTGTATTTGAAGCAAAATGCCCAAAGCCCCCCCCCCCCGTGGCTATTTATTAAAGCAATATGAAAGGTAGCTTAACACTGCTGTTTATAACTTGAAGTTTAGATTTACTTATTTTTTTAAAATGTGAAATGTTTCTTCCAAGCTTTGAAATTTTTCGTGGGATAAACTTAAGCCTAACTCACTTTTAGATCCTTAATTTGGAAGCATCATAACTGCATTGTGGATTCTGTTTTTCTGACTGCTTGGAAAATTATTGTGTATGGAAAAAACGTAACATTATTAAACAGATTGTACCAAAGTGTGTTATACTGATTTTTATTAAATAAACTTGCTTTATTTTTAACTAAAAATTATGGTTGCTCTATCTGTTACAGTGTATTTGTAGTGCTTATTGAAACTGTAGACATTTGAAAATTGTTTTATCAATTCAGGCTAAATCTTCTTGCAGGGATAAGAGAAGTGCAGGTCTTATTGCTACCAGCAGAGAGCAGTGAGACAAAAAATGACAAGAGAGCCCTTCTTGTGTGAAATTTTGCTCATCTTAAATATTACCATAATGCTTGCCATTATTTCATTAACATTTTGCTCTGGGCCAGGTTTAGCTTGAAAGAATTTCACCATTCAAGAACTTATCCCTATTCACAGTTTTTTTGGAGCTATCAAAAATTCTGAATGAATCATATTTACATTCACAAGGAGGGAATGGAGTCCTGTACTCTACTCTTCTCTCCACGGTGTATTGTCTTCCCCAAACAATGTAATATTGCATTTTTGCTTTTGTGCACATCCCTTTTTGAAGGCACAGGAAGGGAAAGCTCATACTATTGATTGTTGATCCTCGTAGTTAACTGCTAAAAGAGCAAGAGTTTAAGCCCACGCAGAAGAAAACTTTTCCTGTTTGATCCCAAATATTTGGTGGCTGCAAGATGTATTCCAGTCTGCATAGTTAGAAAACCCGATTGAAGTGATGACTTCACAAGTTGTTCCAAGGCTGATTCTTGGCACTGAATGCTAGTGCTGGGTCTGGGTCTTAGTGAGTTCTCTTTCTCTTCCTCCATTGCTCAGAGTAATTCTGAAATATTATTTGAAGGGGATTGAGCAACAGTCAGTTGTCTAGCTCAGGAGCCCAGCACATTCCAACGTTTTTCCTGGACACTGAAGGCTCTTAAGCCCTGTTGCTTTCAATTGAACTTAACTTCTAAGTAAATACACTTAAGAACAAAATCTTAGTCCCAAGTGATGCAGCTTGCAGGTCCTCAAGCTCACAATAGTATAGCTAAAAACAGCTAAGGGTGAGTATTTATCCAGACCTGGAATGCTTGCATTGTATGTAAAGTTCTGCATTTATTTATGCTTTCGGCTTGTATCCCGCTCGAACCCCAAGGGGTCTCTGAGCGGCTTACAGTTACTGTTTATCCCTATCTATGGCCACATATAGTCAGGGGTGGGGACTGCCCTACCAGCACCCAGTGGAGGAACTTCATGGGGATAACAGTATGTAGGAATTATGGAAGTAAAAAGCAAAAGATTCTGTAGTTTAATCAACTTCACGTAGGGCGTAGCTTTGGGTTTTCATTTCCCATTCAACTCAAGGCTGTAGCTGACAGAAGACTGAAGATAATGTACCTGGCACCAGACAGAGGTGCATAACCAGAGCATAGATCCCTGCCCCAGATCTCATAGAACTGAAATTTAGCCATTGGGGGAAACAAAAAAGGAAGGGAACTGAATTGTTTGTGATTAAGTAATGATTCACTGTAAACTTAGATTGCAAGCCAGTTTGTTTTTAACTGAAATCTGAAAAGTCTATCTTTGGCTTTGGCTTCTGGGGAAGAGTGTGAGTCGCTGCTTCATGTGTGAGCAAA